TATATATATACACATACCTACACACATACATACATACACATTATACATACATACACATTATATATATATATATATATATATATATAATGCAGAAAACAGAAATATTTGGAAAATATGACTATGCATGAAGAGGAAACAATCCATCTCGAATTTGGATGGTTGGACGTTCTTAATATATATTAGATATATTATTTCAGTTATTTTATTGGAAGTATATATATATTATATATTAATATTATTAAGCATATGTACATAATGTCATCATGTATGTATGTATGTTCTGTTGTGTGTGTGTTTTATGATCATGAATTCTCACAATCTTTTTTAAAAGCTTCTTAGTTTTGCTTTTGCCATAACTCAAATTAGCTGAATTTTGATTTGTCATCAGTCTCTTAGAGACGGTTATCTATGGAAGCCACTGAAAAAAAGTCAGAATTGTGAGTTTATAAAGTCCAAATTTGAGGGAGGAAAAAAGACTGACATGTTCTCAGAATTGCGAGTTTATATCACGCAATTCTGAGGAAAAAATGTGAGATAAAAACTCGCAATTACCTTCTTTTTTTATTCAGTGGCGGAAACGGGCTTCCATAGTTATCTAATGCCCTTAACATGACTGCTAGAAAGTCTACTAGCAAACTCAAACTTACAGTAAGTTCTTAACACTGAAAGTCAGCTCCATCTGACGGCAGCAGATGTGTTGGACAGGATCATGTGCTATATAAATAAGCCCGGTTAAGAGAGATTCACAGTACCTTCAACATCAGATAGCCATGACATAACACACACATGTACACACAGCACGAGCGCCTGTGCTGCAGCAGACCACGTGCTAGAGGACAGATGTGCTCAACAGTCCCACAGATGCGCTACTGCTTGTGTTTGATGTACAGCTGCTTAACGTGCATGCAAGAACAATGTTTGATCGACCATGTGTACAGAAAGGGCAACACTTGGTTGTCGTGATCAATGCTACTACTGTCTTCCTGTTTAATGAAGCGCACAGCCAAAAGTCACGGTGTCTGTCAAAATAAAAGTCACCCGCTGTGGTAATAAAAAAAATATTTGATGTACTGTATGGGACAAGAATGAAAACATAATGAATTTGAAGGAGGGAAATATACATGTATTAATAATATAACATTATTTAATATATTAAAACATATTAGATAATAGATAGAAATATATGAATAAATACATTTATAAATGCACAAGTAATATGTAAATCATTATATAATTAAAATTCATACTGCAATTAATTAATAAAAAAGTTACTTTGATATTTAAATGACTTAAAAATATTTTATTGTATTGTTGATTGCCTATTTAGACATATGATATATTTATTTCATGATTTACATGTGCATTGTTGCCCTATAAAAGGGGGAAAATACAAAACATTTAGAAAGTATTGATTGTATACAGCTGATAACAATGCTGCTGTCATATTAGTATTAATAATCTTTGTTTTATTGTATAAATAATTGCCTATCTTTGTGCCTTTCTTGTATAATGAGAAAAAATGAAAAAGAA